CACTGTTGCGGGGAGGAACCAACACGGCCAGCATACACCAATGATGACACAAAAAATAACATTTATTTGTAAAACGGCCATTTGTACAAAGACCAACAGCTGGCGAACCACCCGGGACCCGGGGGTTATTTTTCGATTAAAGGCATGCTGACCACATGACAATCCGAACTTGTATCCGCCGGGGACGACATTTTTTTTCCTGCGTTACCGTCGAAGGCTGTGTATAGGCCTCCCTACACTAAAACGGCTGGAAACGCCAGACGTAATTAAAAAAAAAACATCCCGCGGCTGGTCAAGAGAATGCCGCCAAGAAAAACCCACAGCAGCAGTAATGACCACCGTTAGGCCTCACCTTGAATCTGTTGGCATTTCGCATGCAGCCTTCTTCGGTCAAGGGGAAGTCGAATGCCCCAACCGCAGGCGACTTGTTGATAGCGTCGATCACCGACCACAAGATCTGGTACGTGGTCGGCACCGACAAGCCAAACATGAGGGCAACATCCCAGAAACTAGCGCCAGCCAGGATCCTCAACGCCACGGCAACGCGGACTTCTACAGCTGTGGCGCCGTTGATTGGCGATCGCAGTGCTGTGGGGTTTCGGAGCGATGCGCAGATAATGTTCGAAGGATGAGCGTGTGTCGGTCAGGAAATATGTACCAGTGTCATAGGGGGTATGTTTGCAATCGCCAGCGTATAAAGGACGTATGTCATCGTTAAACTCGCCAGAGTACCGGCCCAATACACCTCCCGACTAGGGTTGTGAGACGGCTCTGTGTTCTTCACGGAACACACAACCAACCTCGCATATGCATATGAGGAGCACGTTTGTTTTTTGTTGTTGTTTCTCTCCCATCATTGGACTCTGCCGTCTGCCCCTCTGGCCCCTATCCTCCACTTCTACTGGCTAGACGACCCAACCGGGGTCACATAGGAGGGGGGGGTGGACCCCCCTCCTGCGGCACGTGTCGACTCTTGTATGCTATCATTGCGGGATACGACAACCTGTGTAGGCTCCCGACGAGGCATGTATAATGTATTAGTCTATTATTATTTTGTTTGCCCTCCGACAATTGCAGATAAATGGAGACATACATAAAAAGTCGATCGTAAAGGCCGTCATGCCAAGCCAAATGAACTCGATGCCCAATAGCTAGGAATGTTTGTGCCTCGAAGTCAACAAAACTTTTGTCGAAACACTACAGCTGAACTCAAGGCACGAACCTTAGATGGAGAAAAACGAACAAAACCCCAACCTCATCCACCCGAAATCAAACAAAACTCGGCCCCGTCTTCCCTGGTACCCCTGACACCGTATTGAACAGAAATCCGCTTTCCACCGAAGTGGTTANAATGTTTGTGCCTCGAAGTCAACAAAACTTTTGTCGAAACACTACAGCTGAACTCAAGGCACGAACCTTAGATGGAGAAAAACGAACAAAACCCCAACCTCATCCACCCGAAATCAAACAAAACTCGGCCCCGTCTTCCCTGGTACCCCGGACACCAGACACCGTATTGAACAGAAATCCGCTTTCCACCGAAGTGGATTACAGTGGTGCCGGCGTGTGTTGCACGCTCTATTCATACTGCTGAACTTATTTCAGCGCCACCATAGTACCTTCCTGTCGTTCCCATACAACGACTGCTGCTGTATGCATGTGCAGACACTGCTGTACCTACTGCTGTAGAATAAGTGCTGCTGCGTGTATGCATACCCTGGCTGCAAGTTTCGATGAGGGAGTTTGTTTTTTTTACGATAGCAAACAAACAGAAAGGCAGTCTACAGCAGTAGTGTTTCTCCTGGCTTTTAGAATTGCTCTTCCCCGTTGTTCTCTACGTATACATGAGAGGAAGCCTTACGCATGTTCGTGAGCTCTGGCAACAGTACTTGCCGTGCGGACTTGGGGCTGCTGTCTAACTGGTTGAATTAGCACGCGATAGAGAAGGCACGAAGGGAGAGAGAGCGGAGGGAGAGAGTGCCCCGAACTCACGAGAAAAACGGGGGCTCCGCGCTCTCACCAAACTGTCTCGCCACAAACCTCTCCAGGTATATCCTATCTGCGTCCTACGTAACGGCTACTTTTGTTTGTCTACTCCTACGTACGAACACCCTCCCTGGTTCTTTGCACCATCGAAGAACCACTCGTGCGTCGGAACTATGTCAAAATAGCTGAAACACAACAAAGAAAATAAAACCAAGGGGAAACCCGGCCGCCGGATCAAAACCCCTCGAAGTCCAACGCCTCAAACAAAATCAAACGAACCTTCCATGTCATCTATGATTCCAACGGTTGTACTGCAAGATCAAAACAAAAGTGACTTACACCAAACATGCGGATTACGATTTTCTAAGCAACGCTCTACTCTCCAACCACGAGGTGCGCTCCTGGCAAAATCCTTCTTGAATGATGAAACAAGATCCTTGTGCAGCACCAACACTGATTCGTGTATCACACACATGTACGGGCAACGCCCTCCCTGCCTAACTGCATTCCGCATCAAAACTTCATCAGACAGGTTCGTTCTCCCTCTTTTGGGATCAACCAAGCGCGATCCACCACAAATCAAAACCACAAACATCCTGTTTCTGCTGAAGAACAAATCAAACACAACCGGTTTTCCACGAAACCCATCTTCAGAAACAAAACGTCAAGCCTCCTTCAAACAAGGCCTGCAATCTGCAAACATTCAAAAACCTCGATCTTCCTTCAACCAAGAATGCATCAACTTGCGATTGAACCTTCATGAACTACCCATCAAATATGGTGGCAAATTCTACCAACGTGCACGTTTTCATCCCCCCCCACTTTGCTACCATCACCGACACACCCGTCACCGATATGACCCCTCGATACAACAAAAAATGGTCAAGAAGCGCAAAGCGTACATCACGATGTATAACGACAACACGTATACGTGAGAATTACCACTAGATTCGGCAACCAAAAAAAATTACCATTAAAAGAAACGACAAAAAAAAACGAAACAAGATCAAGAACGCTTTCGGGTTTCATCGACACCCGTAAACTGGCGTCGAAAAAAAGAAAAACACAAGAAAAACTTATCAAGCTTGCCCGTCCACTCCACCAGTTCCAATCGTGAAGATGAAGCGCGCCCTCGATCGTCCACAAGTCGATCCTGCCGATCCCGATCTCCATCGTCCCTTCCCGGCTTATGAAATGCGCGCGGCGACTCTCCACGCGACTTTGATGACACCGCCATATCGCTGTGCCCCACCCCAAATGCCCACCTCCGGCTGATGGTTGCGCGCCACCTCCGCGCGACAAAACATGCTGCCCCCCCCCGCTCCAACGACGAGGCAGAACAGCCACGGCCCGTCCGCCCATGCTGGGTTGCGCGCCATCTCCGCGCGACTTCAAGTGCTACCCCCCCGGCTCCAAACGGCAAGGCAGGACAGCCACGGCCCCTCCGTCCGTGCTGTGGTTGAAAAATGCCGCCCGCTTCACGCGTGATGCGGCACCCACCCCCCGACGCGCCGTCGCGCGTGTCAACCGTGGTAGGGCGTGCACGGCCACTCTGCCGTGCCTGTGATCAACTTAGAGAAAACACCGCCCGCGTCAAGCGAGTGCGGCGCCCACCCCCCACACGCCGTCGCGCGGTCAATCCATGGTAGGGTGTCTCCGGCTATTCTGCCCAACGGTCACTCTACCGTCCCTGCTTTCCACCGCCTCCTATCCCGCAGATGGAGTGCGCACCGTCAATTGTGCGACTTTCATGGCCCCTCTGTCCATGCTGTGCTTGCGCGCCACCTCCGCGCGACTTCGTCCGGCCCCCCCACCGCAAATCAGCGGCGCTGAAGGCCTACGGCAAACCTGCCGTATCGTATTAGCAACACCACCTGTCCACCCTAGAAACTTTCAGTTATCACTTCCTGCACCTTTGCTTCCTTCTCGTCTTCGGTCAGCTTCTCCCAACTAGGATCCATCTTGCACAGTTCCTCCGCGCGGTCGTACTGCTCTTCGAAACTCACCACCGCGAAGTTGGCATGCTCCACTACCGCCATGCACGCTTCCTCCGTGGGTGTCGCACACTTCTCGCTGTTGTGCCCAAAGCCCGAACACGTGTCGCACTGCTCCAGGAAGTCCTCCTCCTTCGTGGTGCAGTCGGGCTTCCTATGCCCGCGGTGGTTGCACCGGAAACACCTCCGGTGGTCGACCCGGTCGTCCGTCCCCGCCTTCTTCTTGCTGCCACGGCCGTTGCTCTTACTGCCGCGGCCGCCGCCAGCCTGCCGCCCCTTCCCGGTGCCGTCACCCGCAATGTACGCCTGCTCCCCCCCGGATCCTTTTTCTCCTTCCTTCCTCCATTCCTCGGTGAGAAGGTTAAATCGGGTTGAGAGATGTTGTACAAGGATATCCGTCTTCAGTGGTTGGACCACCGACAAGGTTTGCTTGGTGACTTCGTATTCGGGGTTGGGCAGCGAATCGATAAGTCGGGCGAACACGAACTGGTCGTTTACCGTGGCTCCGCCCCCTTGCCGCATCATGTTGGCCATACCCATGAGCTTGTTCAAACTGGCGACGGGGTTCTCCTTCCGAGGAGTCTGGTACTGCTGGAACTCTCTGAAAAGCTGCTGCTGTGCACCCTGTGTCTCCGGCAGATATGCCGCATCTAGTTGCCGCAGGGCTTCCCTTGGGTTCGTGCAACGGCAAAGGATGGCTTTGTCCGTCTCAGTAGTCAACGCGGCAGAGAGGAAATTCCACGCCAGATACGTCTTGCGGATTGCTGCATACGAAACCTCCTGCTCGAGAAGGGCATCTCTGTGGCTTGTTGATGTCCGGCAGCACCCCGCCGCCGGAGAACACATCGCCTATGTCGAGAATGCCTGCCTGCACGATCATATCCTGCCTCCACCCCGGGAACTGCTCGGCCCCTTTCTTTAGCTGTGGTGGGTTTACGTGAGACGCGGCGAGTTTCGAAATTCCGCCGCCTCCCGTGAAAAGACCCTCACCAGCGACATCACCGCTGACGAAAACACCACCAACGCCACCGCCGGTTGCGGCTGCCTCACCTTGGGAGCCATATCCTCTGCCGTAGCCGCCTACACCCACTGTGCCCGTCGCGGCGGACCCCTGGCTGCTGTTCGGGGCGGCAGCGTCACCGCTGGCCCCTGTCGATGCCCCTACGTCACCGCCGGACTCCTCCTCCTGCTGAACACCTCNGGCCTCACCTTGGGAGCCATATCCTCTGCCGTAGCAGCGTACACCCACTGTGCCCGTCGCGGCGGACCCCTGGCTGCTGTTCGGGGCGGCAGCGTCACCGCTGGCCCCTGTCGATGCCCCTACGTCACCGCCGGACTCCTCCT